TGAATCAAAAGAAGTTGTTTCTCTCTCTGTTTAAAAACAGAAAAGTCCTCTGAAAGTGGTATTGAGCTATATTTAAGAAACCTTGTACAGTTTGTACTAATTTTCAATTTTTTTTTGAAGAAGCTAGGAGCTAGGAAAGGACATGTAAGATCTTCCTGTTCAACTCTCATTTAAGGAATGATATCACCCTAATCCAGCAGCAGTAGGAATTATGTCCAAAGTTATAAAACTGGTTATTGGCAAAGTCAGAGCCAAAACCCAAGGCCCCTGACCCCAGCACAAGGATCTCACTGGAGTCAGGTATGATCAATTGGAAGAAGGGTCCGACCACAACCCAAACAAGGCTGAATCCCTCCCGCAAGTGTATCGCTCAAAGAAACAGCATTCAAAATCAGAAAGAAAAGCAAATCTTAACTTGGACTTCAGGTACGTTTTTCAAACACCAGGAAGTCTAAGGTTTAGTTCAAATTTGTGGTTTATGGAACCACATTAATAGCTAATGTCTGCCAAATGCTGACACTACCCCATGAAAAGTTAAAAAACATTTAAAAGGCACATCTGATCTTTCTAACATTTTAATTTTCTTTTGGGCCAATTTGAATTCTATCTCAAATGGAGGTGAAGATCAGAAAATAATTATTCTGCATACAAAATGTTAAACACCAAAGTAATCCTTCTCGCTTATACTGTAAAGAATAGGGAGAGGAGGAATTATTTTCAGCATGTCACTCACAGCCCGAAGTTTGAGTTCAGTTTGCAGTAATGAAATTAAGGAGCAAATTTTAATCAAATATTTAGAATACTAAAAATCTGATGTTAAGGCACTAGTGGTAAAGAACCCACCTGCCAATGCAGGAGACATAATCCTGGGTCCAGAAGATCCCCTGGGTAAGGGCATAGCAACCCACTCCAGTATTCTTGCCTGGAAAATCCCATAGACAGAGAAGCCTGGCAGGCTACAGTCCATGGGGTCACAAAGAGTTGGACACAACTTAAGGACTTGGCAGACGCACACACAATGTTAGTCATGAATACTGAAAATATCTAAGAAATGTGATCAAGGGTATAATGGAGTTATCATAAGTTGTACAAAAATGTAAGTTAAAGTTATTTAACAGCTCATATTGTATAGGTGCTCTGGCCATGAAGGGACTGGGAGGGCCATGAAGGGACTGGGAGAGCCAAGATGGACATCATCATCTTCACAGCCCAGAACATCACTGTATCCATTCATTCACGTCATGCTACCAGAACACCCAAGACTACAACATCAGCAACGTCACTAGCTGTAGCAATAATAGCAAACTAAGCCAAAATACTTAAAACGAGTATGCTTGAATTCACTGTATAGACTATACAATCCACTGGGAATACTGCAGAAGTCATTCTAAGTCAGAGATTTCAAATTATTCTGATAGAACACAAATGACGTATAAGAAGTAGAAGAGTGTTTTTCTAACATTAAAAGAATAGTGTCCCTGCAGTTTCTTGAGAAGGTCTCCCAGGTGGCTCAGTAGTAAAGCATCCATCCATCTGCCAATGTAGGAGACTTGGGTTTGATCCCTGAATCGGGAAGGTCCCCTGGAGGAGGAAACAGCAACCCGCTCCAGTATTCTTGTTGGGAAAATCCATGGACAGAGGAGCCTGGCGGGCTACAGTCTATGGGGTTGCAAAGAGTTGGACATCACTGAGCAACTGAGCATGCACACACTTTCTTGAGAAGAGTGGGTTAGGAGCACTTTGATAAATCAGAGAGCTCTATGGTATGAGTTGTTTTTTGTGAGGTCAGCAGACCTACTAAAACGTCTGGACATTCCTAGAAAGAAAAACTGAATGTTTCCCTCCTTATCTGGTTGGTGAGTGTTCTCAGCACTTGCAAGAGAACTGTCTGATCAGGAAGGGTATCTCACAGAACCCACCCCATTGATTACCACTGCATACAGATCTAGAGATCCTGACCCTGGGTCTTCTTGAGAGCTACCTGAAAAGCAATCTACCTATCCTTCTAACAGTATAGGAGACCTAGTCTTAGAAAAATTAGCCAGTGTAATTCACCACAAATTCTAAGGGAATTCAAGCCGTGTTAAGCTGTGCCTATAGTTAAAGGAGTTTCTAGAGCAGAATCTCTGAACTGATGATTCAATCAGTTTATGAAGACCAAGCTTGCCCAACCTGGCTATCATAGTCTGGCTATGCTATGTACGTTTATCATAAGATGGATTGTTTTTCAAAGAAGGATAATAAAGAATAGATATCACTGTTTTTTTTTTTAAACTCAGCAATTTATGATATTGTAAAATAACTTCGGGGGTTTTCCAATCTATCCACGGCATAATTTATTATTAATGGAACTGTTTCATTTTCATTGTTAACTCTTACCCTGGCAGTTGCTATGTATCAAGTAATGCTAAATTTAACCCAAATAAAAATAGAGATAATGAAGTACAGTCAAAAGAGCACTGATGTGGAAGTCAAGATATCTAGTTTCTAACATACTCACTTAAATAAGAAAATATAATATTGCAAAATATTAAGCATAACAAAATACTATCTATTACTTCTGTAGACAGCAAGCTAGTACATGGGGCAAGATTATTTTGTTCCAAAGTAGCTCTATCACCTTTTTATAACTTAAATGAAAAAGACTCGGGCTTATTCAGGAATAATAAAGCTATACTACTGCCGGGGTTTCCTAGATGGTGCTAGTGGTAAAGAATCTGCCTGCCAATGGGAGACAAGGATGTGGGTTTGATCTCTGGGTTGGGAAGATCCCCTGGAGGAGGATATGGCAACCCACTCCAGTATTCTTATCTGGAGAATCCCATGGACAGAGGAGCCAGGTGGGCTACATTCCATATGAGGTCGCAAAGGGCCAGACACGACTGAAACAGTTTAGCATACACACACATGCATATAACTGCTAAAGAATTACAGAATTTAATTATAGACATAATTAACAATTGCTTATTATGTTTAAATTTCCTTTGATTGTTACCCTACCACTATGCTTACATAAAAGCATACATAAAACGTGCACTTCTAGTATACAAGATGACATTATTAAGGTGATCTAAAATATAAGTATACCAGTCAGACTGGTGCTGTAGTTTAATTTCACTGTAACATTAGCAATGTAAATTTCAATACTGTTTGAATTTATAATTCTCTCCCAAGTCATAAAATGGGAAGGGCTTAGAGAAAACAGAGGCCCATGCCAAGCCTGGAGAAGTGTCACTTTTCAGACACTGAAGATGCCCCAGTGTGAGAGTCTACACTCTTGAAACTCCCCAGGACTGGTCCTCACTGTGGTAGAACACTCTTCTACATACAGTAGACAGACAGGATGGAGAAGATGGACACAGTTAAAAAACAGGGAGTCTGCAGTGTACTATATCCAGGAGGCACCAGGAACAGGCGATGGAGAGGAATAGCATCGGGGTGAGTGCTATCACCTGCTCTCTTTATTCTATTTATCTTCCATTGTTTCAGGTTCTCCATGTAAGCATATGAATGAGGGCTGCAAATGGCTCTATCATTCAGAATTTTCATGGAATTTTGCTGGTCTGAATTGCAGGATATCTCAGAGGAGAAGAAAAACGTGCAAGGGCTCTGGGACTCTTGCACTGAGGGTTATCAACACCCTCAGAGATAAAAGCACAGTTACTCTCTGTAAGTAAGACAAAAATATGGTAGTCCTAAGAGTTCTCTCATATTTGCTTTTCAGCCCTTGTGTGTGTGTGTGTGTGTGGATCACAATAAACTGTGGAAAATTCTGAAAGAGATGGGAATTACCAGACCACCTGACCCACCTCTTGAAAAACCTGTGTGCAGGTCAGGAAGTAACAGTTAGACCAGGACATGGAACAACAGACTGGTTCCAAATAGGAAAAGGAGTACATCAAGGCTATATATTGTCACCCTGCTTATTTAACTTATGTGCAGAGTACATCATGAGAAACGCTGGGCTGGATGAAGCACAAGCTGGAATCAAGATTGCCGGGAGAAATATCAATAACCTCAGATATGCAGATGACACCACCCTTATGGCAGAAAGTGAAGAAGAACTAAAGAGCCTCTAGATGAAAGTGAAAGAGGAGAGTGAAAAAGTTGGCTTAAAGCTCGACATTCAGAAAACTAAGATCATGGCATCTGGTCCCATCACTTCATGGGAAATAGATGGGGAGACAGTGGAAACTGTCAGGCTTTATTTTTTGGGGCTCGAAAATCACAGTAGATGGTGATTGCAGCCATGAAATTAAAAGACGCTTACTCCTTGGAAGGAAGTTATGACCAACCCGGATAGCATATTTAAAAGCAGAGACATTACTTTGCCAACAAAGGTCTGTCTGGTCAAGGCTACGGTTTTTCCAGTGGTCATGTATGGATGTGATAGTTGGACGGTGAAGAAAGCTGAGTGCCGAAGAATTGATGCTTTTGAACTGTGGTGTTGGAGAAGACTCTTGAGAGTCCCTTGGACTGCAAGGAGATCCAACCAGTCCATCCCAAAGGAGATCAGTCCTGGGTGTTCATTGGAAGGACTGATGTTGAAGCTGAAACTCCAATACTTTGGCCCCTCATGTGAAGAGTTGACTCACTGGAAAAGACCCTGATGCTGGGAAAGATTGAGGGCAGGAGAAAGGGACAAGAGAGGACAAGATGGTTGGATGGCATCACTGACTCAATGGACATGAGTTTGGGTGGACTCCGGGAGCTGGTGATGGGCAGGGAGGCCTGGTGTGCCTCGGTTCATGGGGTTGCAGAGTCGGACACGACTGGGCGACTGAACTGAACTGAACCAAAGGGATTCTCAAAGCTGTTTTTAACATTAAGGAAGAGCTTATAGACTCTAGACTTTCTATTCCTCACCACTACTCACGTAACATGCCTGCTCTCTCTCTCTCTTTCTCTCTCTCACACACACATAGACACCTTTCCTTCCGTAAAACTTTAAATAGTTCACTTAAAAAAATTAGCCACAAGAGAAATTTTGTAAAAATTACCTCCAGGGAGTCACCTTCACAATCTCCTTCCTCCGTGTTTTTCCCCTTCTCTTCAGTAATGGTGTTCACCATTTCAAAAAACCTACAAAGAAAATAGGTATGTAGTCACTCATAATAACTAACATATTAAATATATGCAAGCACATTTTAAAGTGACTTTAGAAGAAAAACTGGGACCTAGAGGAGTCAGGCAATAAAGTATGAGCTTCAGTGAGAAAAATAAGGTTTTCCAAAAAGAAAACACAGGTTGGTATAATTTGACAGAAATTTCAGACAATGTCTAACACTTCAGATAACAGTAACATGATATGTTACGCAATCAGAATGGTAAGGCTAGACAAGGACAGAGAAATGTAAAGAATGTGGACTTGTGTATAAGACCAAGATTGGGAGTATTTACATGATTTGGGACAAATTCAAGAATGAGACTCATTCTTTAACTATAAGTGGGGAATGCATGAAGATGACTTGTAAAGTGCTCAAGGCAGTGCACTCCTCATTAAATATTAACTATTATTGCTTTGCTGCTATTAATGTTATTATTTTAAGTGGGACATAACAGAAACGTCCACCTTCTGAAGTAGTGTCTCTAACTCCTGAGCTGACTCTCTGACAGTGTTGGCCACTACATTTGATCTCAGTTCCTGAAACTTCTGCCTGAGCACCTCAGTATCCATGTGGGATCCCCTATACACAGTCTGAAAAATACGATGTGAACCAGGAATGGCTGTCTTTTACGCTTGTGACAGAAGCCACCTCTCTTTTGGTGATAAACATTTTCTTCAGTAACTGTTCTTGTTTTGTTTTCTGGAGATCATTGCAGAGCTTAAAAAAAAAAATTATGGCAAGAAACGGATTTTCCCTCTGCACACTAGCTGAGTCTGCCCCTCCAGAGGGGATGCTAATGGTTTCTCGTCCAGACATGGAGTAAGGGAGGCGCTCTGAACAAGGGCTGATGATCTCACGGAGAGGTCATGCTGTCAGCCCAAGGAAAGAACAGGCTACTGTGTGGCAAGAAAAGCTTCCTACCACAACTCAGAACTTATCTGTTGTCTCTATACCTATGAAAGCATAGAAAACAAATATACTGGCCTCTGCCCCAGGTCCTGGGCACAGAGATCCTAAAATCCTTGTAATTTTCTGAGTGATAAGAATACGAGGAGCATCTTGTATTCTAATATTTGTCTTAGACCTCGTCTCTGATACAGGGCTCCTAAGACCTTCATAAGTTCCTAACTGATAGAGAACCAGGAGCGTCTTGTGTTCCAATGAGGCGATTCTAGGCGGGCTTCTGGATGACTCCTGGATGGGAACTGATCACCATAAATACCAAAACATGATTAAAAGCCTGGAATTTTCAATCTTACCTCCCATCCTTCAGAGATGGGAGAGAGGCTGGAAGTGGAGTTATTACCTGTTCATGTCTACTTGAGGAATGGGGCTTCCCAGGCGGTTCAGTGGTAAAGAATCTGCTTGTCAATGCAGGAGACACGGGTTTGACCCTAGGTGGGGAAGATCCCCTGGAGGAAATGGCAACCCACTCCAGTACTCTTGTCTGGAAAATCCCATGGACAGAGGAGCCTGGCAGGCTACAGTCCATGGGTTGCAAAGAGTTGGACACAACTGAGCAACTGACCACATGCACACGTGAGGAAGCGTCCACAAAATACCAATAGTAACGGATTCAGAGAGCTTCCAGGTTGGTGCAAACATTCACACAGGGAGGATGACTCACCCCAACTCCACAGCAACAGAAGCTCCTGCACTCAGGACCCTCCCAGACCTCAGCTTACAAATCACTGCATCTGCCTGTTCATCTGTATTATGTCCTTTAATGATCTGGTAAACAATAAGTGTTTTCCTGAGTTCTGTGAGCCTCTCTAGCAAATTAATCAAACCCAAGAAGGGTGTCACCAGGACCTCTGAGCTATAACTGGTTTGTCTAAAACACAGGTGATAACCTGGGCTTGCAACTGGCACCGGAAGTCTTATGGGACTGAGCCCTTAGCCTATGGGATCTCTCTGCCTCCAGGTAGACGGAGTTCAATGGCAGGTGTCACACAGAATTGTTGAGGGGGAAAATCTCCACATATTTGGGGACAAGAAATATCAGAAATGAGGTGTTTTGAGGAATAAAGGAGACACACAGAAAAGAAACACAGTAGGGAAGAATTGGGGTTTTCCCTATATAGGAAGCAAAACAATTTTTTTCTTATACAGTGCTTTTTTTTTTTTTAATCCATCCATCCAACAAATACTCATCGAGTGTCTAATGGAATAAAACACTGTTCTGGCCTTTGGAAACATGACAATGAGCAAAATAGGTAATGCCCATTTTGTTTTGTTTTTTAATACATGCGCTGAAGGACAAAGGACTCAGTGCCCAAGAGAACAGCACCCAGGGACTTTATTTAATTAATTTTACATTTTGGCCATGCAGCATGTGGGATCTTAGTTCCCTGACCAGGGGTCGAACTCACACCCCCTACGGTGGAAGTGCAGAGTCTTAACCACTGGACCACCAGGGAGGTCCCCGACAATGTCCATTTTGGAGTTGGGAGCCTCTCTCTGGAGTTTGCTTGTGACACTAAGTTCTTCACTCTTCCTTTCTTTATAACTTCCTCCAAGAAATACATACATTTCTTGGAGGTTAATGACATGGAAAAAAAAGATCCCAAACCTGATCATAATGACAGTATGTTCTGATGAAGATGACATATCTTGATGAGTTAAAGACACAAGTAAACTTAACCAAAAGGAAGAAGAACGTGAAAGACCTAAACAAATTCTAAAGATCTGGGGTGAAGATTTCCATCAGCTACTCACACAAAATTTTCTAACATGAACATTCTAAGTAGAAAATAACACTTCTGGTGGGATGGGAGCACAGGTAATTTTTAGACGCTTGGATTCTGGAGTTGCATGTGCCTCGTTCAAATCCCAAATTTTATGCTTTTTGGCTATACATGATTATAGGCTATTTAAACTCTCCAGTTCAGTTCAGTTGCTCAGTCGTAACCCCATGTTACATTCATGTTCAGTTGCTCTTTGTAACCCCATGGACTGCAGCACGCCAGGCTTCCCTGTCCATCACCAACTCCTGGAGCTTGCTCAAACTCATGTCCATCAGGTCGGTGATGCCATCCAACCATCTCATTCTCTGTAGTCCCCTCTGCCTCCTGCCTTCAATCTTTACCAGTATCAGGGTCTTTTCTAATGAGTCAGGTGGCCACATTATTGGAGCTTCATCTTCAGCGTCAGTCTTTCCAATGAATACTCAGGACTGGTTTCCTTTAGGATTGACTGGTTTGATCTCCTTGCAGTCTAAGAGGCTCTCAAGAGTCTTCTCTAACACCACAGTTCAAAAGCATAAATTCTCCAAGACTCTACTTTTTTCTTTAACTCTTTTTAACAAAACTATTAATATTACCTACCTAATTAAGTTTATTTGAAGATTAAAATAGATATAGGCCTATAAGATTTATATAGTACTCCATAAATCTTACCTATAATTATCATTGAAATAAATGGCCTTGAAAATTCAAGTGTAAGTAGAAAAGTCAATCATATATGTGCTAGGAATTTTTTCTCATTTCCAAGTCTTTGTTACTACACATTTTACAATAGTAAAGATAAAACTTTAGCTAAGAATCATAAACTAAGCATACATATTTTTGGTACCAAGATAAAAAGATTGAGTGTATATTGTAGCTAGTATATCAATCATTTATAATGGGGTCAAATAGTGATTATTTGAATAAGACAAACTCCCAACAAGATTTTCAGTCCAAGCTGGCTTTTACTGCACTTTGGTGTCCCCACTGTAACTCACTTCTACTTGTTGTTTAGTTGCTAAGTCACGTTCAGCTCTTTGCGACGCCACGGACTGTAGCCCGTCAGGCTCCTCTGTCCATGGGATTTCCCCGGCAAGGATACTGGAGTGGGTTGCCATTTCCTTCTCCAGGGCATCTTCCTGACCCAGGGATGAAACCCACATCTCCTGCCTGCCAGGTGGATCCTGCACTGCTGAGCCACCTTGGAAGACCCACTCATTTCTACAGGTCCCCACAATTAGGGACCAGGAAGAACTCAGTTATTAGCCCAAAAGAAATATACCCAAGGAGGTTAACACAAACATACAAAGCAGTTCATGGACTTATGGATTATCTTTTATTGGTGTAAATCAGATCACTGGTTTTTAACTCAATTTGGTCCTCCACCTAAAAATCCAATATAATTAGTCCAGGGTACAGCTCAAGCACTTTCTAGTGCCCACCCATTGACTCTAATATGAACCAGAGTTAGGAGTCACTATTGGAGATAATGGTGAGAATTTCATTCAAGAATGAAAATTTTGGTAATCATAGAATACATGAGCTCTTTAAAAATGAGACCTAAGACTTGGCAATTAACTGGTAAATTTGGTTCAAGTTTTGTCTGTGGAAAAGTAAGTTATGACTAAGAAAAAGGTTGATTTATTAAAGAGAGGTCCCAAACTTCTCAGTTAAACAAGCCACATAATTATAAAATACCAACCCAAATGAAATATTTATATAAGCACATGGCCATGAATTCTCTACAGGAGCTACATGTTCCCCTCACTAATTAAAAATAATGATCAGGTAAGAACAGTCCTTTTCACGCATCAACAGTGACTAATACGTACTTTTTACAGTGAAGTTCTGTACAGAAATAGATTTGGAAATCGTCAGAATTGTGAAGCACATACAGAAAACAGCATCGTTCTTCAAATTTAGAAATACTGAAACAAACAAAAGAGAATTATTCACAGTAATCTCAATACCTTCCATGAATTGTGATGAAAAAGGAATGCTTTTATATTCAGTCCCAAGTATGATATCAATGCTGTTTATACCAAAATGTTATAAATAGCACTTCAAAAGTGACATTCTCTGTACCACAGTGCTAAAATTATTTAATATTCTGAGAATTGTCTTCCTACTTGTATCTACAGATAAGGCTGCTCAGGGTGTTGCAGGCACATAACCTATGTGTCCTACAACTTATTGTGGGGAACGGGTCTTGCCTGTTGTAGCACTAAATTGTGCACTGGGAAGAAAAACACACATATCAACTGGCTTACGGACCCTGATGATTCTGGTTCTATAAGATCTGTTGAACAATAAAATTCTTCCAAAGCTAGGAAGGCAATGTGTGGAGGCAGTAAGAGCAGCTCATTACTGTAGACAGTACAGAGGAGTGAAGAAATATGAAATAGCACTTGGTTTGGACTCAGCAAGTTGTTTAGTTTACAGCAATTGAAACAATTTTGAGTTTACAGTCAGGCCATGCTCCTTTATGCCAAGGGTTGGCAAATATTTTCTGTAATGAGCCAGAGAGTAAATATATTAAGGTTTGCAGGCCAAACTACTCAGTTTTGCTGTTGGAGCAGCCTTAGGCAATACACAATGAATGAATATGGCTGAGTTCCAATAAAACTTTATTTACAAAAACAGGCAGCAGGTCATATTTGGTCTGTGGGCTATTGTTCTCCAATCCCTATTTTATGCCTTTGCATCTGCTGTTCCTTCCATTTGGAATGCACATCATTTTTCACTTCTTGCAGCAATTCTATTCATCATTTAAGGCCCAGCTTAGACCTTACTCCATCTTACTTTGCTGCTTCTACCTGAAACAGAAAGATTTCCTCTTGTCTCTCTGGTCTTGGAACATACTTCTGCTAATTTCACACGGTACTGTCATTAGTTATTAAATGTCTATTGCCCTGCTGGGTTGTGAGTGCTTCAAGGGAAGAGTTCAGGTCTTAGTCACTTTTGTATCCTTAGCAGAACAGGACTCAACATTTGACAAATAGCTGGCATTCAATAAATGCCAAATGAGCTGATGCAAGATAAACTGCTGACAGCTGGATTTTTTTCTACAGTTTGTCTTCTATTTATAGAGGAGGAGGCCAAGAAAAGTTAGATCTCTTTGAAGCCACACACTGGAACTCGAGTTTCTCAACACACAAGTCGGCAGGAGCCACAAATAATCATTCCAAGTTGATACCGTCAGTCACAACAAAGGCTGTGGAGTGATGCCATATCTCGTTAGAGAAAATTAACTCATTGGAAAATAAATATGACAAAGAGAAATTTATATTTACCATACTTTCCTAGATGGATGGCTTAAAAAAGGCAGCAATAAACAGTGTCTTGCTAAGACTGGTCTTAAAAATTAAATATTAGGAGAGCAATGCTTTATCTGAGAAGGCATGGACTGGAAAAATATATATGAGTTAGTCTGGCCTGTCTCTGTTCACATCATTCACAAGGTAACAGGTGGTTTTGCCAGGCAAACTCCAATTATCAGTGACTCAGACAACTCCACCAGTTCATGCTCCAACAAAACCAATTACCATTATGCCAAAAGCAACAAAGTATTGCATAACTGGTCTGCAGGAATCTGGCTTTTCTCATTTTTATTTATATGGGACAAACAGAAGTAAATGCAACTAATTTGGTTTGAAATGGGCAAGAGTTGGTTTCTCATAAACTTCTGTAAACTTTACCAGAGACTCTTGACTCTGAAAAAGTCTCATTTCTAAATGCCAGGCATGGGCATTATGATGGCAATGTCCAAACTGAAGGAAGCCACTGTAACCTCAAGAACATGTGATGAACAAAGATCTCAGGAAAAGTCATTTAAAAATGAATTCCTATAATCTCACCACAGTAGTATTAGCTAGATGACCCAATCCAGTAGATGGTACATGTGTTTTCAATACATCTAAAGAGAGAGTAGTTCCTGGTATATCAAAAAACCCCAGAAAAAATCATCCTCTAACATAAACCATCAGCTCCCCCAGCTGGAGGGGACCTCCAACAGCTCGCTTCTATCCTTACCTTGACTCTGGTCCACAATCACACTTATCTCTCAGTCACCGTATTTTAAGTAGGTGACAAGTACAGAGTCCATGAAGCTTTTGTTGCAAATCTTTTTGTAACGAAGATAGTGAGTCTGAAGAAGGCTGAGCATTTTCACCAACAGGAGGGTGCTTGAAGTTCTTTGCATTTTTAAATCATGACTGTAAGTCCTATTCAAGACATTCAGGCTCTAGAAAAATGTTTTCTAAGTAAACAAAACTAAGAAAACTTACCTCACACCCCTGACAGAAGAAGCACTAAAATTCCATTCATGTATACCTTTCTAGAACACAAGGACAGAACAACAACAAAGGTTGAGTCATCCAAATGGAAATAACATAACAGTAATTTAATTATTAATAATATACTCAGAGTAATTTTTCCTAGCCCATAATTCTGCAAGGACAAACTATCTAGATGGAAACTGCAGTTCATTTTCAAGCCACAAGGGTGATGGTTACTGTACTTAATAATTTCTGTACTCCAATAAAACAGCTTCCAAGAGAATCTAGGAGAATTAGTCTCATTAAATTCTAAAACTTGACTTTTAGCAGATTAACCTATTAACTGTTGTGCCTTTACTCTTTAGAGTAAAAAACCCCTGATCAAAATAATTTAATTACTACAGTTGAGTGATATTTCTTTTCTGAGAAAGAAAAACATTAATTGGAACAAAATCTCTGCAAGGTTTTAAAGATAATTACTTCTGAATTATCTTTAGTTATACTTTCTAACTAAAATGGTGCTTTTATTTCTTCAGAAAATAGCACAGCAAGTAGGTATGTGTATGTGTGGTTAGTTGCTCAGTCATGTCTGACTCGGCAGCCCCATGGACTTAGCCCGTCAGGCCCCTCTGTCCATGGAATTCTCCAGGCCAGAACAGTGGAGTGGGTAGCCATGCCTTCCTCCAGGAGATCTTCCCAACCCAGGGATCGAACCCAGGTCTCCCACATTCCAGGCGGGTTCTTTACAATCTGAACCACCAGGGAAGCCCATGTATGTGTAAAGACACATGTATAGTGTCCATCACTGCTATAAAGTGTGACCTAATGTATGCAAAATTCAATATGGTAATAAAGTTTGAACATAAGAAATTTGATGACCATTTGATAAGCATGAATGATTTGCAGGGCCAAGATGAAAACTAAATGTGGGAATTTATTTCCTGAGTTTTATTACTAAAGCTGAGTTAAAATCAGGATTAAATTCATATGTATCAAAATGAAATAAATGACAAGATAGATGACATTCCCTATAAAGATATAAAATATAAAAATATTTTATATTTCCTATAAAAATATTATTGTCAACAATATAGAAGTAACAACATAAATATTTTTATGGAAATAAAGCAGTTGATATATGTGTCTAAATTTATCAAGTACTATACTGTAGTCAATTCTGATTGCAATTCAACTCTGTAAATGTAAAAGAACCAGAGAAACAAGTTCTTACCCACCCACTTAAAATACTGCTGGAGGCTGAGGTCTTGGCTGGGCTAGTGAAGTGAGTAACGAAGCCTGAGACTCTGAGGTGGTCCAGAACTTTCCTTTGGGCCAAAGCAACTTGAAGAGTCACAATTTATCTCCACAACACCTGGTCCTCTGCTAGGACCGTGCATCTTAAAACCAGATCCTCTCAAACTCAGAGCTGATGTACTAAAAATCTACTTTCAGTGCACATAAGTCGGGTAACGGGGATGTGACCTGAGTTAACACAGAGCAAATGTTGCTATATGTGAGGTCCAGAGACGGAGGGGACCACAGAAAGGTACTCCTGGAACTCCGCTTTCTTAACCAGAGTACAGAGGGAGTTAAATTAAAATAGCAGCCTGTAGCTTCAGCTGGTAATTTGGAAAGTGGCTTCTAAATCCCGTTGGCCTCAGGTGACCTTCTAAAAGTATGGGAGCAAGAGCTGCAGCTGTTAGCTGCACACTCCTTGCACACAATGCAGCCTTATCCTCAGAGGCTGCAACTGAGCTGCCTTCTAAGGCCAAGCCCGGATCAGGAGCGGGGCGCTCAGAGCGGAGGCGGCCGAGCAGAGCGTCAACCTGCGTGCGAAGAACACAGCCGCCGCCGAACACCGCCCAGACAGCTCTGGTAAAATCTGTCCTCCATCAGCCCCGTTCTGGGAGCAGCCAAAGAGAGATCTCCCAGACTGCCCGGGCTGGTTCTGTAGGAAAGAAGTAGAGCATTTCCAGAATGTTAGGTTCCTGGAAGGCCCTGAGTGCTGCCAGGGAATGTTCCATTTCGGTGGTGCCAAGCCCAGGGCCCGAGATGCGAGTGATGTGGGATGAGGAGTCCGCTCTCCTCACCTCCCTTGCTACGGGGACTCACCACACAGAGGCGCTGGTGAGCCAGAAAGCCAACAGGTGAGGTAAACGTTTCCGGGCTCCTCTGGGAGTCTGGGGAAAGGGGCAGAGCAGAGGCCGTGCTGCAGCGATAATTCATTCCCCAAAGCCCCAAACCAACACTCAACCTGATGTGCACAAGCACCATTTTCTTGGAAATGGTTAGCCTCAGATGCTGTGCCCCAGCTAGGGCAAGGCTGAAGACAAAGTGTCAATACTGAGCTAACACGGCAGCTTCCCTGGTGGATCAGCTGGTCTGCCTGCAATGTGGGAGACCTGGGTTCGATCCCTAGGTTGGGAAGATCCCCTGGAAAAGGGTAAGGCTACTCACTCCAGTATTCTGGCCTGGAGAACTCCATGGACTGTACGGGGCTGCAAAGATCGGATACTACTGAGTGACTTTTTTCTTTGTTTACCACGGCTGCAATGCTACTGTGGCAGACACTGTTGGTTCCCCAGGCGACAGCCATTCCCTTCCGTCTTTGCTAAGAAAAAGCGTTTGTTGGTCCAGCGCAGGTGGCAATGTTTAGAGATGGTGAAACAGATTCCCTAAATTAGCCATGGTAAACCGTGATTGGTTTAGGCATGGACACATGATGCAACTTTTGGTCCCGGAGAAACGGGGAAAGGCTCTGACCTCCTTTGCATGCTGTCTGTATGGAGTGATGCTTGGTGCTGCTATTTAAGACCATGAGAGAAAAAACAAGAGCACATAGAGAAGCCAGCCAGAAATCTGACACTGCTAAGCCACTGAAAGTAGCCCCCAATGACCCACCTCAGAAGTTCTCATAATAGGAAACAATGTTTCCTTATTACTTAAGCCATTTTTAGTTGGGAGTTTTGTAGTCAAAAACTTCCTTGATGGGTGAGAACATCATATTATCAAAATATAGAACCTAGGGTAAATACATCCCCCTAATATATTTCCTGGGTCTCCTCTGAGTGGCCACTGGTTGGAGCTGGACCGAGGGAAGTGGGGTGACACTTACTTCTCCACTGGGACCCTGCACCAGATAGACCAGAAGTGCTTAACTTCAAATTTCAAAGGAACGGGAATTCTAAATAACAATGCTTTTAAATATCTTGCAAATAACTTCTCTCTTCCACAATCTAGGTTTTTCTTTCATGTACACATGCAGACTTTCTTCAAGCACTAACTTTTTAAAGCAGCAACCAGGAAGAACTGTTAAAAGACTGGGACTTCAATTAATTTGCCCCTGACCACAGGGTCCCTAACTCCTGGGACTTGGTATAATGATCTTAAAGTTTTGAAAGTAGCAATATAAATTATACACTAGCTCATAAAACTATTCACCCCACGTTTTAGAATGAAAATACTGGCAGAGGGAGTAAAGGAATAAATAATAATCAACAAAAAGCAACACTATGTTGTTCTACTTTTAAAGGAAAAATTTAAACATTTTATGACACCCTTCCAAGAAAAATCTACTTCCTATTTACCATTAAAACCTATTAAACCTGTTGCTTATTTGATTTAATTATAGCTATTACAGGTGCTTAAAACTAGTAAAATAATAACAAAGTAATCTCCATTGCTTGTCTTCATTCCATTTGTATCACTTCTATTTAAGGTGAAAGTGGGATGATCTGAGAGAATAGCATTGAAACATGTATATTATCAAGGGTGAAACAGATCACCAGCCCAGGTTGGATGCATGAGACAAGTGCTCAGGGCTGGTGCACTGGGAAGACCCAGAGGGATGGGATGGGGACGGAGGCGGGAGGGGGGATCGGGATGGGGAACACATGTACACCCATGGCTGATTCATGTCAATGTATGGCAAAAACCACTACAATATTGTAAAGTAATTGGCCTCCAACTAATAAAAATAAATGAAATAAATAAAACAATAGAGAAAATGGCAGTGGTAATGAATATACTATGGATAGAATTAGGGATAATGAATATAGACATTTATGTATAGAACAACAAATAAATTGACATTAATTTAAAATGGAAACAGATCAATTTTTAAAAAGCTTAAATTTTTAACAAGGGACATTTTTAACACTGAAGGTAATAAGCAGTGGGGACAAAGCAAATGTAATATTTCTTGATCAAAAGATAGTAAAAATGGAAGCAGGACAATTCACAGCCTATGTCTATAACTACTTAAGGCAATGATTTATATCCTAATATATTTATTTCTCAGCATAACATAAAAATGGTCTCTACAGTTGTCACAAACATAGAAGAATCAACACAAGGCTATTGAACACAGAACCTCCAGAAGAAAAATAATGACAACTGGAAATAGTATTCATTTTCCAAAAATTCCTGGCTTACTTTCTGTTCTTTTTCTGTCTTCCAAGTAACTTCTGGCTCTCTACTCATTCTCTGGGACTTGCTAATCACTCATTCCTTTAGCCTCGGTCTGTTCTAAGTGTCCTTGGATAACCCTGCTCTTTCTAATCAAGCTTTTGAAAATCTCTTCTCCCAGATAACAATTTTCATGTCTCTAGTCTCTTAGATTTTGTAGTTTCAACTGGATGACTACTCTACTCCTGCATATGCATATACTTTAAAACAATATAAAGAAAACACTTTACATTGCTGGTAAGGGATTCACCTGCAATGCAGGAGTTCAGTTCAGATCAGTCGCTCAGTCGTGTCTGACTCTCTGCGACCTCATGGACTGCAGCATGCCAGGCTTCCCTGTCCACTGCCAACTCCCGGAGTTTACTCAAACTCATGTCCACTGAATTGCTAGTGGAGACCTGGGTTCAAAGCCTGGGTTGGGAGGATCCCTGGAGGAGGGCACAGCAACCCACACCAGTGTTCTTGCCTGGAAAATCCTCATAGACAGAGGAGCCCGGTGGGCTCCAGTCCACGGGGTCGCACAGAGGACACGACTGAGCAACTCAGCACAGCAGAGAGAAAACAGTGCACTTTATAAAAACAAGCTTAATAAGATGTATATAGAAAGTTATATTAGTTATGATCAATTTCGTCATGATGCCACGACTCCAAGTGGAGTACGCATTGGAGGTTAGTTCAATTAACTTACTGGAGCAGCTCATAGAAGTCAGAGAAACATTTTACTTACTAGATTACCAGCTTATTATACATGAATATGATTAAGGAACAATCAGGTGAAAGAGATGCACAGGGCAAGGTATGGAGAAAGGTCTTGGAGCTTTCGTGCCTTCTCCACATACACCCGTCTTTCCAAATCCCCAAGTATTCACCAGCCCAGAAGTTCTCTGAACCCCATCCTTTTGGGTTTTTCTGGAGGCTTCATTACATAGGCATGTTTGATTAAATCATTGGTCATTGGTCAATGACCCAACCTCCAGCCCTTCTCCCTTCCCAGAGGTCAGGATATGGGAATGACAGTTCCAATCCTCCAAACTACTGGTTGGTTCCCCTGGCAACCAGGCCCCATCCTTAGGTGTTTTCGGGGTACTACCTCAGTAACATAACAAAAGTCATCTCAGCATTCACGAAATTCCAAGGGTTTTAGGAACTCTGTGCCAGAAATAGGGACCAGATCAAAAACATACTTCTTACTATAAACTGCAAAATCACAACTCCCTAATATAATACGAACAACCTCCCAAGTAATTGCTGTCAAAAATAAATAAATAAATAAAATTATTATTTTTTTAAAAAATAGTGCCATTTTGAGTGCCCTTTGGATGGCTATGCCATCTATAATAAAAATCCAAACAGCAGAATTATATTTTATTGGGTGAAATCCATAACCAAAATTTAACAAATTTTATATTACCAAATACATCTATGCCAAAATAAATACACAGGAAGCTATTTCTTCTAAACTAATACAGACATTTTCTGGAATACATAAATGCCAAAAGGTATAAAATCTTTCACTACTAATGCTCTTGTCTTAATAACTGCACAATTTACCTTGTCATCAGGAAGCACGTGCCAAATAGATATTGTCTTTTCCTCAACTTCATTGTTGATAGACAAATACGAAGGTTGATAGATTTTGGTTGGTTCTAATATTAATACCTTCAAAACATAAGGCAAAGAAATTAGTATTATTGACTTAAGATTTAAGCCATTTAGAGTTGTTATAACAACCCTGCACAAGAGATTAACAGATAAGGCTTAGTCCAAAGCTGGAGTAAAACTATTTTAACTTCGGATTCTTGCTATCCTATGAGGCCTCTGAGCAATTCATGGTATTAAACAGTTACCATAAGTTCCAATAATGCATCACCTTTCACTGCTAAAGAAACTGGAAATAAATTTTTGAAGTCCTTATATTGGTTTCGCTATCCCCAGGGACTCTACTAATTTTATATATATATATACACATACACACACACACATTTAAAAGCTTCTATTTTATTTACAATCAATACAGAATGTATTTCTCTTTTTTAATTTTTTTAATTTTAATTTTTTATCGACGTATAGTTGATTTACAACGTTTTAGGTGTATAGCAAAGTGATTCAGTTATACATATACATATTCTTTTTCAGATTCTCTCCTCATAATCTATTTCTATAAATGTAAATGTGTCAAAGCAAGGCAGCAGTGTGGTAGAGGAATAAATAATTCTATGTACATAAGATTCCATTTACAGACTATCACATGCTTATTTTACATTTTTTTGTGGCCACACCTTATCAGAAAGATGTAGTAGTGTGGTTTTTCATACTTGTAAATGGATTGAGAAAGATTTTGATTATTATTGAAGGAGTTTTATATATGAGCCAAAGAAATGGACATAATTGTATGAAATAATAAAAATGCTTTTGCACTGCCTCCAAGATAAAATTAGTATCTTCAATAATGATATATTTAGCTTTGTGAGAGAAAAAGAGAGAAACAAAACTCGCTCCTACTTTGGAGAGTATCTGAGGATATATGATAAGTGGGATGAGAGTCTCCATCAAAGGACTGTACAATGTTTACATTATTACTAGCATATCATATTAGGAGCAAATAACACTGAAATGCCACACCTACCTTGATTTCAAAGGTGCTACAGATATTACCTTTTTGTACAGACACTTAAAGGAACCTATTCAGCTCAAATTTCCTGTGTGGTCTTAAGCGAGAATATTTGGGAAGAAAATAAAATACCAGAGAAAATGGAACAGCTCTTTTTATTCAAGTTAAGGTACAGAGAATTAGAAAAAGGGGATGAGAAAGACAACATTTTCTTTAATCAAGGGTAAAAAAACCTTAAGGGCATAAAGAATTCTTGGTCAGGCTCTGGTGATGAAAATTAGATAGCGTATGCCACAAATAAACAGTAAGAGCTCGCTGGGGAACACAGTCTGATTCAGAGACATGCAGGTTAATCAAGATCCAAATTCCTATCAACAGAGAACTAAATGGCACTGATTAATATGAAAATCATTACTTTTCAATCTTAGTTTAGTAAAAACAGTGCTTTCAAATGTGAGTATCCCAGTATTTGTGAAATCAAAATAAATAATAGGGAATAAAATAGTTTCCCAAAACAGCACTCAAGACACTCCACTGAGGACTAGAACTTTCCTTGTTCCCTAAAGAAGTGAGCATGCTATCTAACGTTAGAAAAGCATAGCACAGGTTACCTCCTATCTTCTTAAATGATGGCGTTATTGTTGTCTCAAATAGTTCTAACAGATAAAATTGAAACTATGCATTACCTATCTTGAGATAAGGGAAAAAAAACTGGTTGCAATTATTATTGTCTAATGATTGCTTCAACAGTATGTGAACCAAGAACTTACAGATGTTCAAGCTGGATTTAGAAAAGGCAGAGGAACCAGAGATCAAATTGCCAACATCAGTTGGATCACAGAAAAAGCAAGAAAATTCCAGAAAAACATCTATTTCTGCTTCATTGACTACACTAAAGCCTTTGACTATGTGGATCACAACAAACTGTGGAAAATTCTTAAAGAGTTGGGAATACCAGGCCACCTTACCTGCCAGCTGAGAAACCTGTATGCAGGTCAAGAAGCAACAGTTAGAACCGAGTATGAACAGTGGACTGGTTCCAAATTGGGAAAGGAGTACGTTGAGGCTGCATATTGTCACCCTGCTTATTTAACTGCTATGCAGAGTACCTCAAGGGAAATGCTTAGATGGATGAATCACAAGCTGAACTCAAGACTGCCGGGAGAAATATCAATAACCTCAGATACACAGATGATACCACCCTTATGGCAGAAAGCAAAGAGGAACTAAAGAGCCTCTTGATGAAAGTGAAAGAGGAGAGTGAAAAAGCTGGCTTAAAACTCAACATTCAAAAGACGAAGATCATGGCATCCAGTCCCAACACTTCATGGCAAATAGATGGAGAAACAATGGAAACAGTGACAGACTTTATTTTCTTGGGCTCCAAAATCACTGCAGATGCTGACTGCAGCCATGAAATGAAAAGACACTTGTTCCTTGGAAGAAAAGCTATGACAAACCTAGACAATGTATTAAAAGCAGGGACACTACTTTGCTGATAAAAGTCTGTCTAGTCAAGGCTATGGTTTTTCCAGTGGTCATGTATGGATGTGAGAGTTGGACCATAAAGAAGGCTGAGCTCCAAAGAATTGATGCTTTTGAACTGTGGTGTTGGAGGAGACTCTTGAGAGTCCCTTGAACTGCAAGGAGATCCAACCAGTCAATCCTAAAGGATATCAACCCTGAATATTCATTGGAAGGACTGATGCTGAAGTTGAAGCTCTAATATTTTGGCCACTCTTCCTCAATTCATTAGAAAAGACCCCGATGCTGGGAAAGATTGGAGGTAGGAAGAGAAGGGGACAACAGAGGATGAGATGTTTGGATGCCATCACTGACTCAATGGACATGAGTTTGAGCAAGCTCTGGGAGATGAAGGACAGGGAAGCCTGGCGTGCTTCATTCCATGGGATTGTAGAGTTGGACATGAGTGAGCGAATGAACAACAACAAATGCTTGCTGAGCTCCCTGAACTGCTGTTGAAATGGCAAAATGTGAGGAATTTGTAGCATGCCTTGTGGATGTCACGGAAAGGCTATTTAAAGACAAGAAAAGGATGCAATTTGATGAAACCAGCTAAATACAACTCGCTCGGGAGTATATGTTTTCTTGCTTTCAGTTTCTTGTCTTTTATATCAATTAACATTACAATTAACTGCTAAATTCTGAAGTATAAAGGAAGACAGCAAGGCCTGCAGACTCTAAGAGGAGACAGTAAGCAGAGGTACATACTAAGTTCCTACAGAAACCATGAAAGTACCACTTCCTCTTCCTCTCACCTGACATTATCAGGTGGGTTGATGGTCTCCTAACTTTTCAAAGTAGGAAGGAAAGAAAATGTACACTGAAGAGAGGTGAGGAGAAAGAATGAATCAAACTAAACCCAAATAATAATAAATGATGGGATCCTTCATCTTCCAAAGAAACTTTGATCTGTTTTCTTTTGCCCAGAGTCATCACTATTTCTTGGAAGCATGAGAATGGATGTGATAGTGAGCTAAATGGAACCAATTAAATAATATTTTTTAATATAAGCTACCTGGTCAAACCCATTTCCAATGAAGGATAAGGTAATCACCCCAATCAAGACCTAATGCAGCCTTCACAAGTGTGGGCTATGGACGATGCTACTCTAAGGACATGAATAGTTAAACAGTGACTGACATAGAACCACAGGATCTAGAAGCGTGCCTTTCTCTACGCAATAGAAGGTGGGCAACAAACTCCATGGTTGCAGCGAGTGGGCTGGGTAAGAAAGGGCAGTGAGTAAAGCAGAATGAATGGGATTGGAACTGACATCTTAAATGTTAGCCTCCAGTTGGCTCAGGAGATACTGTTTTTTAAAGAAGGCAGTTATGAATTGTCCATCCTTTTCACTGTTCAGGAGCAGTTAAAACTATGGATTATGACCATTTTTCTGTTCCTTTTGCTAATCAGTTTGTGGGAGTTGTTTTGTTTGTGTGTGTTTGTTTTTGCATATTGGGTGCATTGATCCATTTGCAGCATTAGTGTTAAATATTCTCTCCCTTTCTAACATTTGCCATATTTAGGGTGTGTTTTTTTTTTTTAAGATGACCAAAAATTTGAACTTTTAATTGAATCAAATTGGTTAATATTTGCCTGGGGAGCTTATAGTCCCTTTCTTGCTTAAGAGAGCCTCTCTTTCCTGGAGTATACACTTATATTCTAGCTTACCTGGTGGCTCAGGCAATAAAGAATCTGCCTGCAATGCAGGAGACATGGGTTCAGTCCCTGGGTTGGGACGATCCCCTGGAGAAGGGAATGGCAGCCCACTCCAGTATTCTGGCCTGGAGAAGTCCAGGGACAGAGAGGCCTGGTAGGCTACAGTCCATGGGGCTGCACAGAGTCGGACATGACTGAACAACTAACACACACACACCCCCCTATATTCTCTTAAATTCTCTCTCACTATTTTCTGGAATTTTTTTTTTTTTACATTCACATTATGACAAACTAATTCATATTAAAGTAATTTAAATTAGCTCAGAATCGCTAATATAAGTGGTTTCCTCTCACAGCCAACTTTCTTAGTCCATCAAGTCAACAGTTGATTAAATACTTCAGCTTTGTGCTGTCTTCTTTCACGACCACACTTACTATCATCAAAGCACCAGCTAAAGGCCAGCTGCCAGCTCATTCCGAGAGAAGTATTTTCCTAGGCTACACATTATCCAGGATAGAAAACAGAGTGAAGTGTTACAGTTTGAAAGTCTTTTCACCGAAAGATCCTGCTGAGCTATGGCATCCTCTGGAAGCAAGAGCAAAAGAAGTGTGCTAATGCCAGGGATAGATTTAATTAAATGAAACATTTTATCCTACCAATGAGCACTAGAAAACAAGATTTTATAAAAAGAATTAAGAGTTGTCACCACTGCTGAGTATGAAGGATTGAGATTTACAGAGCTCAAACAGATTTCTGGCATCATTTTGACGTGGGAAGAGGTCTGTGTATACAGTCAGTTGCCAGTAATTCTTGAATTGGATGCTAAAGCTACATTGCTTTGGATGATTTTCCAAGAACTATCAGGATGGGTGTGGAACCAGCTAAGGTGGACAATGTATTTTTAAAGTGTGTGTATGTGTGTTATACATTTAAATATCGCAATCTGATAGAAACTAGTCATAATGAGTTGCAGACCAGAACCTATGAAGTATTATTTCCCATCCTCTAGAGCAGCGGTCCCCAACCTTTCTGGCAACAGGGACCAATTTCATGGAAGACACATTTTCCATGGATGAAGTGGCAGGGCGGGGAGTGGAGGTGGGGAGCTTTCAGGATGATTCAAGTACATTTACATCTATTGTGCACTTTATTTCTATGATTATTACATTAGCTCCACCGCAGATCATCAGGCATTAGATCCCAGAGGTTGGGGATCCCTGCTGTAAAGCGCTGTAAAAAGCAACACCGCATCTAACTCTGACCCACGTGGGTAGGAAGGGGTAGTGATGGAGTAACAATGCAGGGGAGCCTGATACTTTTCACCACAATAATGTTGACGATATTGATGGTGACAAAGTCAGCAAAACTGTAGTATGAATTAAAAGCACCCATTCATCTGATCTGAAGAGATATCTTGACTTCTTGAGCTAAGAGATAATCTTTTCCTGGGAAAGCACACATTATAGCTTATCAAAGGAAATTACCAAGTGTCATGGCAAAAACATGAAAACGCATCTTATTTCTCTGACTGTGACCGTTATTTTTAAAAGTAAGCTAAAGCAAACCAATTTGTAGAAAGTAAGTATTTTAACCAGATGACCATCTTCACTTGCTGTGCATGAAAAGGAGCACATTAATACCATTACAATCACAAGTGCAAGATGTTCTTTAAATAAAGGAAACAGAACATAAACGCCCTTAGAGTTAAGTGAAGCATACTTACTGGAAACCTAACTACGGTGACATCTGTCTTTGTGGCCTCGACCAGGAAATCCATCCAGAAGTCGACAAGTTCCTGTTTGGCCACAGGCTGTTCTGAAGTCAGTTTCACAAAATGCTTATATATCAAAATTGTCTCTACGATAGACTTGAGGTACCTAAAAATTAAAAGATATAAAACTTGTAACAGGCAAATTTAGAACTACCTATTCCCACACATCCCAGTCTTACTCTGTAAATGTAATTTAAACATGGCATTAATAATTATACCAGCCAAGTCACCAAACTTTATTCATTTTTTGTTACACGTCATGTAGTATCACATTATCTCATTTAAAACTCACAAAAATGCAATAAAGTAGGCCATTTTTTCCCCATTATAAAGATGAGGAAACTAAGGCTTAGATAGATAGCTTACAAAACTTGGACTGAACAAAACATCTACTTAAAACATGACTTTTAAAGTAATGCGTAGTGACTTCTCTGGTGGTCCAGTGGCTAAGACACTGCACTTACAATGCAAGGGGCCCAATAGATAAACAATAATAAATATCTTAAAAATTTAAAAAATAAATAAAGTAATGCCTATATTCTACTCAAGAAAGTGTTAATGCATTTGCTTTAAAGTATGTTCCCTTGGGAACTCTTTCTAAATAGACCCATCATAAGAAATACTATTTTGCTCTGAAGTAACTCAACTCATATGCATTATATGAACATCCTTAAATTGCAAGACAGATGGTGCCTCGAAGGAAGAAGTCAGGAAAACATGAGGAGTAAGATAATTACATGAGATAATGGGCATGCAAGCACTTTGTAAACTATAAACTACACACATGGAATTAACACTAAATTAATGGGAACAAAACATTGTTTTGTGGTTGTTGTCACTACTGCACAAAATAATGCCTGTTTTCTTGTTAACAAAGGCCAAGAGACCTCTAACTGAAACTCTTTGTATCTGCGCTCCAGCCTCCTCCTCAACCATCATCGGGCTGGTCGTCATAAAGAAACAACCAATTTGACCGCATGGGATGTGTGTGCATTTATTGGTTCATTGATTTTCATGTCATTTGCTGAATGCCTGCTGTCAGCATGCTCCTGACAGGACAACCCTGTCCTCAAGCTGCACGCAGGGCCAAGGAGACAGAAATGTAAAAGGTGTTGAGCACCATTAAATAAATGCCCATGGAGTTTTAACTCACGGAGATAATAGAGTACTATCAGCAGACATATGACTAAACACAGAAAAAGAAAGTTTCAGGAGATGAGTGGGTCACACACAGAAGTATATGTATCAACATCCACCAACTTCTGTCTGGCTGTGGGGCAGGGTCTTAGGTTGGCATGGGATTTAGGCGCAGACATGACCCACCAATGCTCCCCAGGTGGAGGAGAGGGCTGGAAGATGATGCTCATTGCGTGGTGAGACGCAGCAGCACAAAGCCAGAATCTTGCATGTTCAGTGTAAACAGACAGCAGTGTAAACCCAGGGGTGTGACAAGGACTGCGGTTTAATGACTGAGGGCAAACCTTCTTTGCCACACCAAGGAGGTGGACTTTATCCCTTAGGCTGTGAGGAGTCATTAAAGTATGCTGATTTAAAGATTTCAGTGGAGGGGAAGGCTCAGACATGCATTTTAGAAAGATCATTATGAGAGTGATGCTGGGAAGCATTTGCTAATGAGGGAGACCTGAATGTGACCAAATGCTGTAAGAGGCCACCAACGTCTACTGTGGTGGGCATCTCCTTAAATGGTCCCTCTGATGACAAAACATCAGTGGCCTGAGTCCGGAGATGCTTTGAGCCTTTCTTGATATCACAGGTAAGCTTTATTTTTCTTAAATTATTTTTATTGGAGTATAGTTGCTTTACAATGTTGTGGCAGTTTCTGTCATACAGCAAAGTGAACCAGCTACACATAGACAAATATTCCTCTTTTTTGGATTTCCTTCCCATTTAGGTTACCACAGAGCATTAAGTAGAGATCTCTATGCTATACAGTAGGTTCTCATTCATTACCTGTTTTATACATGGTATTAATAGCGTACACATATCAATTCCAATCTCCCAATTTACCCCACTCCTTTTTCACCCTTGGTGTCCATATGTTTGTTCTCTATATCTCACAGTTAACCTTTAAAAATCTTTAAAGCTAATAGTCAATCATTACATGAGATGCATAATAAAATTAGCACTAAAAATAGTCTCAAATGCAGATGGAATTTTGTTTTCATCTTTCCAGTTACTTACATCCATAGTGATGAGACTTGGGTGCATCCCAAGAACTATTTGAAAGTAGAAAAACACACATAATATATTAAACATCTAAAAGTGTCAGGAAACTCTAAGTAACAAAGAAGTGCAACTCAAGAATGTGAGTCCTAAGAGGGAGGTTAGATCATGAAGGGCACATGTTTGGAGCAGAGATCGGGAAGCTGAGATAGAAGCTTGTGAATCTGCTGATCAGAGCCGCACATGTAACATTGGAGGCCTGTCTAAGATTCAAGTAGGAGATACTGGCCAACTTGAGCTGGTGGGTTGGTCAGTGTGACGGAAAGGCTAAGCTTGATGGCCATCGGATACCACCTGTGTCTAAATTCATCAGAACCTACAATCAATACATTTTGTTTATGAGCATCAATCACTTTTTCCTCTAGATTGTGCATTTCAGTCTCTAAGCAAATAAAACCATCTAGTTGTCAGTCCAACATATTTAACAATTTAGAAACAAGTGATAGGAGCATTTATAAAAAATAATTCTATAAACACCTAACAGTTTACTATTACCATGCAGGTGTCTTCAGTTTAAAAAGCTTTTCAGATGCTTGAATGACTCTCAAGTGGTCATTGGCCAGGACACTGGCCCCCAGGAAAAATCCAACTTCCCAGTAGCTCTGGAGTTTTTCCAAGTTTCCCTTTTTACCAAGAAGACTACTTAGCTTCACCCCTAGAAGATGAATAGGAAAAAAGAACATTACAAACACACCACAGTCAGGCAGAGCTGGCTTCTTTATTAAAAAGCAAGCTTTCATTCTTCCTTTCAGATTAAAACACCTTTGTTAAGTTTCTGATTCTTAAAAGGGCTTAAGTTCATTGTAAAAGAAAAGAAAAAAGACTAATCAGAAAGGTACAAAGAAAAAGACTGATAAGTTCCCTTCAATTTGAAAAGCTCCAAATAACTGCCAACTTCACATTGATGTACATCATTCCAGAGTTATTATATATGTTGGTATATGGGCTTCCTTGGTGGCTCAGTGGTAAAGAATCCACCTGCTGATGCAGGAGAAGCAGGTTTCTTCCGTGGGTCAGAAGACTGCCTAGAGAAGGAAATGGCAACTCACTCCAGTATTCTTGCCTGGGAAACCCCATGACAGAGAAGCCTGGTGGGCTACAAGGCATGGGGTGGCAAAAGAGTCCGTCACGACTTAGCGACTAAACAACAACAATAAATGATCTCAGGCTTAGAGAAGTTTACTTGTGAATTTGTGTTTTGCTCAGTAGATATCCAAATAATTTCTGTCTAGTGAAACAATATCTAATATTTATAACCGGCTGGTCATAAACTAGCTTTTAAAAAAATCAAACTCAGAAATCTGATTCTAAGATTTCTTTGTTAAATTATGATTACCTTATCTCCAAGGAAGATCCCCTGGAGAAGGGAATGGCTACTTACTGCAGCATGCTTGCCTGGAGAATTCCATGGACAGAGAAGCCTGGCAGGCTACAGTCCACGGGGTCACAAGGTATCAGACGTGACTGAATGACTCACATTAGCTTCTTAAACGCACTTTAAACAGGACATAGCCTCTTACTGTTTCCATGTTCACTGAATTAAATAGAATCTTTTATATTTTCTGACAGTCATGAATTTACCTTTTTTTTTTGCTTTAATGAAACGAAACAACCTTTAAAAAGCCTTATGCTGCTTTTTATTATATAATTCCACTTAAGCCATGAGTATTTTAGGAAAAAGTCCATTTGGGAATTCTCCACATTTTGTGATGATAATTTAAAAAGAGAACAGCTTTGCCACCTTAAAATTTCATGAGATGGAAAAAAACTGCACGTGTATGCAACAACATCTATGATATCCTATTTGAACACAAAAAAAAACAACAAATATAAATGGAAGAAGAAAGTGTGGGGGGAAATTAGATACTAAAAATGTGTGTCTCTGTCAACCTCAGTTGAAAATGAATATTTCTTTTTTTTGTTTCATACTTTCAGAACAAAGAATGTAGGACTAAGGTAGCATCAGACCATTTAAACATTTAAACAGGGACTATGAAAGTGTTTAACAGTAAAAGTATATTAGCTTAAAATTAAAATTTAGATTTATTCTTGCATGCCAGAAGTTTACTCTATGAGGGTCACCTTAACTTTGGCCTTAGCATAATTTGGTCACATGATGCGACTCTGAATCATTCAGCATTTGGACAAAATGTATTTTTTGTTGAATGGCAAATAGTATTTTAGTATACAGAAGGGTCATGGTTTATTTACCCAAATAGAGATGGTAGCTGCTTTTTATTACTATAAATACTTTTGTACACATAGCTTTGTGCACTTGTTCAATTATTTCTTTGTAATAAAATCCTCAACTTGGACTTGTTGGGGATAGAGATATGCTCATTTTAGTGTTGATATTATGGGTAGTGGGCTTCCCAGGTTGCACAGTGGTAAAGAATCTGCCAGTCAACGCAGGAGACACAAGATATGTGGGTTTGATCCCTGGGTGGGGACTATCCTTTGGAATAGGAAATGGCAACCCACTCCAGTATTATTGCCTGGAAAATTCCATGGACAGAGGAGCCTGGCAGGCTACAGTCCATGGGGTCGAAACGAGTCGGACAGGACTGAGTGGCTGAGCACACATTATAGATAATATTACATCCTTTCATCTTTGCCAGTGTAATGGAGAACAAAAGGAAACATGCTTTTTTTTAAACCTTTAAGATTGACTCTCTTCATATTTTATATATCTTTTATGAATTAGCATTTATGTTCTTTCCACATGCTGTATGAAACCTGTTTCTACATGAGATAGTAATCTTTTAAGTTTGGAGTTAAGAATATGGCTCTAATTTTTTATATTTAGGATATCCAAGCCCTCTCCACCCACACATCCAAGGAAGAGAGGAAAAAATATCTTGGTATATAATATTTGTTTCATAACTAGGATTATTTCCACTGGATAGAGTCTCAGAGGTAGTGTGATGCTTGGTCCCAGGCTATAGCACTTTTAAGGTTTTTGATCACTGGAGCCAAATTATTAAAGCACTATTGCAGATGGATGATTCTATCTTTTTACCAAGTCCTTGCTATCTGGCTATTTTTCACTATTTAAAAAAATTTGGCAAAATTTATAAGCAATTATGTTTTAAATACCAGTTCTTTGATTCAATCATCTGTTTAGGCAAGTTAAAGGTTGACAATGCTCTAATTAGACCTGGTTGACTTCTAAGAATTGAAGATTTTTTTTAATAGTTTAGTTTCTATCATAGTTTTTATATTTTGCAGCAGCTATTTAACAGAGAAAGGTAGGACATTTTTATTGAACACTCATTATATGCCTAGCACTAGCATGGCACATTGAAAAGGTAACTCTTTTCAACCCATACAACAACACAAATTAGAGATATCAAGGGAATATTTCACGCAAAGATGGACACAATAAAGGACAGAAATGGTATGGACCTAACAGAAGCAGACGATATTAAGAAGAGGTGGCAAGAATACACAGAACTAGACAGAAAAGGTCTTCATGACCCAGATAACCACGATGGTGTGATCACTCACTTAGAAGCAGACATCCTGAGTGTGAAGTCAAGTGGGCCTTAGGAAGCATCACTATGAACAACGCTAGTGGAGGTGATGGAATTCCAGCAGAGCTATTTCAAATCCTAAAAGATGATGCTGTGAAAGTGCTGCACTCAATATGCCAGCAAATGTGGAAAACTCAGCAGTGGCCACAGGACTGGAAAAGGTCAGTTTTCATTCCAATCCCAAAGAAAGGCAATGCCAAAGAATGTTCAAACTACCACACAGTTGCACTCATTTCACATGCTAGCAAGGTAATGCTCAAAATTCCCCAAGCTAGGCTTCAACAGTACATGAACCAAGAACTTCCAGATGTTCAAGCTGGATTTAGAAAAGGCAGACGAAGCAGAGAATAAGTTGCCAACATCCATTGGATCATAGAAAAAGCAAGGGAATTCCAGAAAAACATCTACTTCTGCTTCATTGACTACACTAAAGCCTTTGACTGTGTGGATCACAACAAACTGTAGAAAATTCTGAGACGGGAATACCAGACCACCTTACCTGCTATCTGAGAAACCTGTATCCAGGTCAAGAAACAACAGTTAGAACTGGATATGGAATAATGGACTAGCTCAAAATTGGGAAAGGAGTATATCAAGGCTGTATATTGTCACCCTGCTCATTTAACTTATATGCAGAGTACATCATGAGAAATGCTGAGCTGGATGAAGCACAAGCTGAGCTCAAGATTGCCAAGAGAAATATCAATAACCTCAGATGACACCACCCTAATGGCAGAAAGCAAAGAGGAACCAAAGAGCCTCTTGATGAAAGTGAAAGAAGAGAGTGAAAAAGCTGGCTTAAAGCTCAACATATAAAAACCGAAGGTCATGGCATCCAGTCCCATCAGTTCATGGCAAATAGATGGGGAAACAGTGGAAACAGTGACAGACTTTATTTTCTTGGGCCCCAAAATCACTGCGGATGGTGACCACAGTCATGAAATTAAAAAACACTTGCTTCTTGGAAGAAGCTACGACAAACCTAGACAATGTATTAAAAGCAGGGACACTACTTTGCTGATAAACGTCTGTCTAGTCAAGGCTATGGTTTTTCCAGTAGTCATGTATGGATGTGAGAGTTGGACCATAAAAAAGGCTGAGCACCAAAGAACTGATGCTTTTGAACTGTAGTGTTGCAGAAGACTCTTGAGAGTTCCCTTGGACTGGAAGGAAATCCAACCAGTCAATCCTAAAGGATATCAACCCTGAATATTCACTGGAAGGACTGATGTTGAAGCCGAAGCTCCAATACTTCAGCCACCTGATGGGAAGAGCCAACTCATTAGAAAAGACCCTGATGCTGGGAAAGATTGAAGCCAGGAGGAGAAGGGGATGACAGAGGATGAGATGGCTGGATGGCATTACCGACTCAATGGACATGAGTTTAAGCAAGCTCTGGGAGATGGTGAAGGACAGGGAAGCCTGGCATGCTGCAGTCGATGGGGTCGCAAACAGTCAGACTCACCTGAGTGACTGAAAATAACACCACCACAATCAGTTAAAGATTAGTCCCTTTGGCTATGATGGAAAAAAAAATGCTGAGAGACGTTGAGCAACTTCTTGAAGGTCGCACAGCCCCGGTGGAGGTTAGATTGTTACCAGGTTAACTTTCCATTGTGATGAATTCCAAGCATACATCAAAGTAGAAAAATACTACAATGATCACATTTTCAACAGCTGCTAGCATTTTGCTATTGCCTCATCTCCCTGAATACTTCGGCTGAACCATTTCAAATAAAATTACATATTTCACCCTTAAATATTGTGTCATAGTAGAAGAATTCTCCTACTCATTCCACTTGATCATTTTTTTGAACACTTGTCAGCAATTGAACAACACGGGCATCTGACATCTGCCTCTGTGGAGACTGAAGCCTATGCTGCTGAGCTTCAGCACCCCCTGAGGGGAATTCAGGGTGCAGACTGAGGCACCCTGTGCTCCAGGGAAATTGGTGGAACAGGTCTTTAGATAGTTAGATATTTTTAGCAACTGATTCCATGTTTCCAAATCCTTGGTGGTGGCGGTTTAGTCGGTTTAGTTGTGTCCGACTCCTGCGACCCCATGGACTATAGTCCTCCAGGTTCCTTTGTTCACGGGATTCTCCAGGCAAGAATATTGGAG